AGGAGGTCAGACTAGATGATCATAATGGTCCCTTCTGACCTTAAAGTCTATGAGTCTATGAGACCCCTTCAGAGGGCCAGCTACCTTCTGACAGACCTTCCCAGTCACTTTGGCCCAGCTCCTTCAAGGTAATGATCCCAATGGGAGTTAGGCACCTAAATACCTTTGAGGAACTGGGCCTCAGTGTTTACTTGGAGCGGGGTTTTTAAAAGTGCCTAAGAAGGAACTTTGGGATTTCGGCCACGGTGAAGGCACAGATTATGTGGTGACAGGAATGGGGACTGCGATGAGAATCATAATGCAATGGTTGTGGGACCACGAAGGGGACTGCAGTGGTGACAGGCATGGTTAGGAGCAAGTCGAGGAGGTTTATGAGGGCACCATGATGAAGACAGTGGTGGGATCATTGGCTCTGGTAATTACAGAGACTGACTGTAATGTTGCTGATTATAATAATTATAGTGAGAGAAAATTAAAATGATGCTGAGGTGAGGAATGACACAGTGATGGTTATCTGACAGTGAAGATAGTGCAGATAATAATTTGCTCGTTACAGCAGTTTTCTGCTGACCATCTCAGAGTTCTTTACAAGCAATTTTAAAACACCTGATTAGGTTGGCACTATATGGAGCTTACTGAGGAGTAAACCAACTATCAGAGAGCTTATGTAACATGACCAATGTCACGCAGCAGAGCTGGGAACAGAACCTAGGGGTCTTGATTCCAGGTCTAATTATTAGGTAAAACTCTATTTTAATGAATAATTATAATGGTTTATTATTTATGTGCATCGTATTTATTTTCAATGATGCTAATAGGGGTATGTTGATATGACCAGTGTTTGAGTTCTTAATAATCCAATTCTGTGTTTCATGATAAACTTCTCATCATAGTTAGCTGTCACGGGAAACATATTTTTGCCATACATCCCATAATGCTAGTCACATAGTGGCCTGATTCAGCTCTCAGTTATGATGGTGATGGTGTACTTTTCTGGCCATTAGTTTAAGTGAAGTTACTCTGTATACACACTTGTATAACTGAGCTCAGAATCTGGCCCAATTGGAGTACTAATGTGATAAATAGTTCAGGATCACTTTAATTTTTGTGCAAATATCACACAAGTCTCATTTCCGACAGAGTTCAATGCAACATTGAATTGGCAAGTGTGCAGCACTGGTCAAGTCCTGCAGTCCTTACTCAGGCAAAACTCCCATTGAAATAATGCATGAGGAGAGGCGGCAGGAAAAGGCTTATCGTGTATATTTCACTCCTATTCCAGTGTATACTGGCATTATAGGAGTGGTTCTCAAAAAGAAAACTCTCTTCCTGTAGATGACATCACTCTTCATGGAGTCACGGCCCACCCCAACATCTCCATTTCTGGGGATAAAAAGAGTTTTACCCATGAAGCCCAACTTCAAAAAGTTCCATCAAATCCAGAGAGGTTCGATTCGACCGTCTGTGTATTGGGCTCTGAAGGATTCTCCTCTGGAAAGCACTACTGGGAGGTGGAGGTTGTGAGCAGCACTGACTGGGACCTGGGAGTGGCCAGAAAATCAATACAGAGAAAAGGAAAACTTTCCTTGTCCCCTAAAGAGGGATTCTGGGCTCTGGGTCTGAGTGGGAGAGATTATTGGGCAAAAACAGACCCATGGACCCGGGTCACAGTGCAGAAAAAGCCCAAGAAAATTGGAGTTTACCTTAGTTACCATGAGGGGCGGGTGACCTTTTTCAATGTAACTGACATGTCTGTGTTGTTCACATTTAATGATTGTTCATTCTCAGGAGAGGTTTATCCATTCTTTAAAAATTCCCACAAAGAAACAACAATGAGAATTTGTTCAATTAAAGAGGAATAAATATAACATGACTCTGATGCTGATTTTATACTGATGTAACTGAAATCAAGGTTTTCATGAATGTATTTTGATGAAAAAATCTTTTTTTTAAAATGTACATTGTCATGCAATAAAATGTTTTCATTTCTTATTTATTTTTTGCTTCTGACTTTTGTCCAATACAATATTTGACTAGCACAGTCTTTCTAGGGAATTTGATGCAGATGTTAAAAACAAGAAAACACCATCCATCCACCCATTCTAACACTTTCCTTATTGGCAGCTTCACCTCAGAGGCAAAATAACAGGAATCTCATTGCTAATTTCAGCATTTTCCTCTATAATAAAAGATAGATAACATGAATATCTCACTAAAAAACATATTTTGGGATGATATTATGTTGTATTATGAAGTTGCAGTGGCTGGAGCAAAATTTAGACTGATGATAGATTTCCACTATAGACACAATTTTTACACACCCACCTCCCCCATAAAATTATCCAATCTTCCTGACACTTTTTTTTTAGACAGTGCTACGTCGATGGGAGAGCTTCTCCCACTGACATAGCTCCCACCTGTCAGTGTTTTAAATGCAGATGTAACCTTAACAAGAGTGTCCACACAGGGGTTTAATGCAGTTTAGCTAATCCACTTTTAATTCATATCTTTAGGGCATGTCTACATTCTGAAACAGTGCAGCTGCAGGGCTGGAGCAGTGCTGCTGTAGTGCTACAGTGTAGACTCTACCTTGCTGGCAGGAGGGGTTCTCCCATTGGCATAGTAGATAATGCACCTTCCCAAGAGGCAGTAGCTAGGTTGACAGAAGAATTCTTCCATTGATGTAGCACTGGCTACACTGAGGGTGGTTAGGTCAGTATAGCCACGTCTCCCAGGGATGTGGATTTTGAGAGACACAGCTATGCCAACGTAAATTCCCAGTGTAGACCAGCCCTTAGTGCCTCTTCTACAAACCCATTGGGTTTAATGGGGTTGCACACTTGAAAGAAGCTGGTCTAAGGAAGTAGCATCGGCATATTATGGCCTAGGGCAGCAAATTTGCGGAGGTGGCAAATTTGCTCGTGCCCCCCTAGCCCCGCTCCAACTCCGCCCATTCCCAAATCCCCTTCCCACCTCCTCCCCCGGGTGCACCGCACTTCCCTCCTTCTACCTCCCTCCCAGGCTTGCTGCGCGAAAGCGCTGGAAGGGAGGAGAAGCGCGTAGTGGCGCCCTCAGAGGAGAAGGTGAAGCAGAGGTGAGCTGGGGCCGGCGGGCGTGGGGAGTAACCCCTGGGGGGGTCAGGGAACCACTCCCCGCCCCAGCTCACCTCCACTCCACCACCACCATCCCCCGAGAGCGCCGCAACTGCCCTTCTCCCCCCTCCCTCCCAGGCTTGCCGTGGGGCAGCGGAGGTGAGCTGCTGGCGGGGGGGGGGCCGCGGCAATTTTTTCAGGGCCTAGGGGCAGCAAATTTGTTAATCCACCACTGGGTAGTAGGTTTCTTTTCACAAGCAAGGTACAAAGAAACTAACTTCTTAAAAGAGCCCAAACAAGCTCAGCAATGTAAAGAGCTCCCATAAAACACCTCCCAAAACTGCAGTACCACGGGCCAGATTCACCAGTACTGTTTGGTTACTTTGCACCATTCTGTGATGACGAGCAGCTGTGCACCCAGTTTAACTGGCTAATTAATTACGGCTGCTTTGGGACACTGGTGCACTGTGAAGCAGCCTAAGTGTACTAGGAATTCTGGCCCAATTTAAAGCAGGACTAGGGATGTCTTCACTTTTCCCTGTTATTTGATCATAGACTCCCAGGGTTTTCTATGCATTTGCTCCCATTTGCTCCCAGATTATCCTTTTTTTTCTAGCCTTAATTCTCTCTACATAGGGCTGGCTCCCAGATTCATAGGTTGGATTTTTTCCTCCGAAACGCAGAGTTAGCAGCTGCAGCCTTGGAGCTAATTATGACCTTCCTCATCCATAAACTCTTCATCACTTTCACAAAAGATGTCAAAGAATCGCAGCACCTGTCTCTGCTGGGTGGAATGCTCCATGGTCTAAGGTAGTAGCAGCGGCGTATTATGTCTAGTTGGCAGCCGGATTCAAGCGGAGTGCCCCAAGGGTCGGTCCTGGGGCTGGTTTTGTTGTGATCGTTCCCCTTTAATCGACATTGGTGAGGCCTCATCTGGAGTACCGTGTCCAGCTTTGGGCCCCACACTACAAGAAGGATGTGGACAAATTGGAAAGAGTCCAGTGGAGGGCAACAAAAATGATTAGGGGGCTGGAGCACATGACTTATGAGGAGAGGCTGAGGGAACTGGGATTGTTTAGTCTCCAGAAGAGAAGAATGAGGGGGGATTTGATAGCTGCTTTCAACTACCTGAAGGGGGGTTCCAAAGAGGATAGAGCTCGGCTGTTCTCAGTGGGGACAGATGACAGAACAAGGAGCAATGGTCTCAAGTTGCAGTGGGGGAGGTGTAGGTTGGATATTAGGAAACACTATTTCACTAGGAGGGTGGTGAAGCACTGGAATGCGTTACCTAGGGAGGTGGTGGAATCTCCTTCCTTGGAGGTTTTTAAGGCCCGGCTTGACAAAGCCCTGGCTGGGATGATTTAGTTGGGGATTGGTCCTGCCATGAGCAGGGGGTTGGACTAGATACCTCCTGAGGTCCTGTCCAACCCTGATATTCTATGATTCTATGATTCTATCCCAGCACCACTTTGCCTCTGCTTTGTTGTGTCTAACCTTTGTTCAAACACTGGGAGGATGTTGTCCTAAAGATATTTGATGATTTCTACAAACAAATCAAGGTCAGTGTTGCATCAACTCCCCTCAGCCTCTGTTTGTGCTAAAATGGATGTTTTTATTATTCATTTTCAGAGAGTTATAATCAGTGTTCCCTCCAAGCCACACGCCTGCATGGCCACACAAGAGTCAATCAAGTCCCACACACTTTGATTAGCAGAGCTGTGCACATCTGACAATTTGTATTTAGGTGCCTCTCACCCTGCTGCTCTCCTGCTGCACTGCTCCTGCCCTCTGCTTTGGAGCCCCTGGCCAGCTACTCCTGGCACCCTCCTGCTGGCTGTGCAGAGCGGGGGAAGGGAGGGGAGGGGGGCACTGATGTCAGGGTTCTGGAGTTAGATGGAGCTGCTGGCAGCTGCTATGGTCTGAAGGAGCCTTCAGACTGCTGAGTGCCACTGTGCTTAGAGACAGCTCATGGTCTCTCATGCAGTTCCCCAGCAGCCAGCACACACACACTCTGCCTTTGTGTCTCTCACACACTGCCTCTGTCTCTCTCTCTCTCTCTCTCACACGCACACTCACACACAGTCTCTCTCACACACACACTGTGGGTATGTATACACTACGAAATTTGTTCGAATTTATAGAAGTCAATTTTTTAGAAATCAATTTTATACAATCGATTGTGTGTGTCCCCACTTAAGACCATTAAGACCATTAAGTTGGCGGAGTGCGTCCACAGTACCGAGGCTAGTGTTGACTTTTGGAGCATCGCACTGTGGGTAGCTCTCCTACAGTTCCCTCAGTCTCCGCCACCCATTGGAATTCTGGGTTGAGCTCCCCATGCCTGATGGGGCAAAAACATTGTCGCAGGTGGTTCTGGGTAAATCTCGTCAGCCCCCCACCTCCATGAAAGCAAAGGCAATAAATCGTTTCTTGCCTTTTTTCCTGGGTTACCCGTGCAGATGACATACCACTGCAAGCATGGAGCCCATTCAGCTCACCATGACCGTATGACTCCTGGGTGCTGTGAGACGTGGCACTGCATTGCTACACAGAAGCAGCTCATTGCCTTTTGGCAGCAGACGGTGCATTATGACTGGTAGCTGTCGTCGTCGTCTCCTGGGTGCTCTTTTAGCCAACCTCGATGAGGTTGGTCGGGGGCACCTGGGCAGATATGTGTGCTCCTGGCCGGCCTCGGTAAGGTTGGCCGGGGGTGCCTGGACATAAATGAGAGACAACAATCACCATCAGTTGTACTGGTCACTTTGGCTGCTGTGGGATCCCGAGTTTCTCTGTTATTGGGGCAGGAAGAATAAAGTGTTGTTACCCTGATTATGTGAATCAAGGACAATTAAACTGTTTTATGAGAGAGGGACTCACTATCAACTACGTAACACTCACTAGATAAGGGACATGGGTTCCAAAACCCAGTGAATTGAGAGAGGCTGGGGACAGGTGTTTGTACCTGATGGTATGGGCCCCTTTTGAAGGCCTGAAATACCAACTGCTCCTCCTTCTCTCTCTACTGTAGAATATCAGAGCTAATTTTAATTCCATTAGGAGTCTAGTTACAGGCTGCTGAGCTGAATTCATTTGGGGCTGATGGTGCACCAGGACTAAGGCTCCCCTACTACAAGGTGAAATCACTAAAGAGCTAAAATTACTAAGAGCTGAAATCACTGAGTACTGTGGGAGGCCTGAAGATATATTGCTGAGCAGCTAGCAAAGCAGTTTGAGGGATGACTGGAGCGACTCATGGGACAGCTGGTGGAGGTGATTCTTGGATTGCAAGTTAAAGAAGTATGGGCTGGATGAATGGACTATAACGTGGATAGAAAGCTGGCTAGATCGCCGGGCTCAATGGCTAGTGATCAACGGCTCCATGTCTAGTTGGCAGCCGGTTTCAAGTGGAGTGCCCCAAGGTCAGTCCTGGGGCCGGTTTTGTTCAATATCTTCATTAATGATCTGGAGGATGGCGTGGACTGCACTCTCAGCAAGTTTGCAGATGACACTAAACTGGGAGGAGTGGTAGATACGCTGGAGGGTAGGGATAGGATACAGAGGGACCTAGACAAATTAGAGGATTGGGCCAAAAGAAACCTGATGAGGTTCAACAAGGACAAGTGCAGAGTCCTGCACTTAGGACGGAAGAATCCCATTCACTGTTACAGACTAGGGAGCGAATGGCTAGGAAGCAGTTCTGCAGAAAAGGACCTAGGGTTTACAGTGGATGAGAAGTTGGATATGAGTCAACAGTGTGCCCTTGTTGCCAAGAAGGCTAACGGCATTTTGGGCTGTATAAGTAAGGGCATTGCCAGCAGATCGAGGGACGTAATCATTCCCCTCTAC